TAAAGCTGATTCACAGTAATTAAATTAGTGTAAACATCTTCTTCCTCTTAATCACAAAGGCCAAGAAAATCTTAAAGGGAAACAGGATGAGAACTGGCAGGGAAACAGGAGCAACTGTTAAATCTCCCATTCCCAGAAAGAGTTCGTATACTTAAGTCATTCTGTGAGGTGAACGCCTTTTCTAGTGATTAAAAGTTTTAGCAGTTTCAAGAAGCGTGTACCTGGGAAGTATTTAAAACACACTTTGATACTGTTTAAATAATAGTAAAATGTTGTTAAATATTTAACATTTAAATAATGTTAAAATAACCTTAAAAAATGTTTAATAATGTTAGTGCACCTAACATTTTAATCAGAGAAAGAGCAGTGCAGAAGTAAATACTTAGCACTCAGTTTGGTAGAAGTCATCTATGGAGAGGTACAGGTACCTACAAGGTAGATTTATTTTCCAAGTAAACAGTCACTGCTTAGACCTATTTCCAGCAGGAAGATATGGAGTTTTCATTAAGCACTGAGCTATGAAAGTGAAATTTTGCAGAGTTTGTGCCTTTGTTTTAATATAGGTTCAGCCCCTCTCCAGATTCTAGGGCCCCATCCCCCTCTGCCCCATTTCCAGGCTTTGACTTATTTCTTCTCAGACTCTCAATCACAGGGTTTTCTGCCAAGGAAAACTTTACCAAGATGTCTTTTGAAGAGGAGCAAAGGAGGAAGATTTTGGTACTACTAAAAGGATTATTGCTAACTTTTTTCTTTTTGTCATTAATATGCTGGATAAGGAAACAATTTTAAATAAATTATGAGTTGTTATTTTTCTGTCTAGAAATCATTCATCAAGCATTGATTTTAGAGATATATTAAAATAATATATTTAATTAGGTTGGCCTGCTACAGTAACGATCGGGCTTGTTTGTGAAGTAGGTAGGAGATAATGCTACAAAATACATAGTTACTCATGACATTTGCATTTACGAATTCTTTCTTTTAATTGATTGTGATATGGATTGGTTTTTTTCTTCCCTTTTGCAGGAAATGGATCTCATCTGTTACCTAACAGAGCAGCTGTTTATTCTGAGCTTGAAAGAATCCAGGCCTACATGTAGCAACACACCTTTGCTTAAATTGCACATTACCTTGTGGAGGTTGCAGCCAATTCATATGCATAAAACTGACAATAGTTTCATGCTGCTGTCATCAAGACAGTATCTTAGGACTTCCTGTCCGCAGTCACAGTAATGTTAAAGTATTAAGGTGGTATAATGGTTAACTGGGCAAGATTCCAAAGCTTAAATCTCAGAAGACTTTTTACTTTTTCCTTACTTGCTTTACATGAAAGAGCGATTTTTTTAGACATTTTGACTGTTCTCTTTCTTGATATAGATATGACTGTGTATTCAAAGGGAATAAAGTGAGAGGGAAAAGCAAAGAGAAGTCAGCTCTTGTAAGGCTGAGTGGAAGTAATGGGCTCTGTCCAGCAGAGTCTTTCTCGTTTGTTGGAGCACTGTTCAGGATTTGAGAGAGTTCTGCTCATGTTGCCTTTAACACCATGCAAGTTTTTTGTGTCCTTTAGACATGTTTTTCTGAAATGCTGAATTTTATGCTGAAGCTTAACTTAAAGCTACTGTGCTGTTCTATAGATGGGAAATCAGCTGGTTTTTTGTTTTTGTTTTTTTTTTTTTTCAAAGGCTTTTTTTCTCCTGTTTACAAGAAGATTGTAAACTCTTTTACAAACTGGTTTGATTTTTTTTTAATAAAATGAAATGAGCCCTAAGAGTATCCTGAATGTACTCGAATGAGAGAATGAACATTTTATTTCAGTGATGCACAGACACTGGGGGTGTGTTCCACCCAAAATGGATATGGAATTATTTTAAAAGTCAGGTTGAGAAAATGGAGGTTGTCCCAGAGAATCTCTGGCATCTGCGAGTAGAAAAGCAGTGCTGTGAGCAATGTTCTTGTCCACCTCAGTACACTAACAACCTAATAGTCCTTTTTAAAGTCTCCTGTAGTTGCTGACTTGCCAAACCCATGCAGTGAGCTGTCATATTCAGTGAATGCAAAAGCAACAACAGAGTTTGAAATGTATTATTTTCTTTTTCCATTTTAACTGAGGGGGGAAAAAAGTATTTCCTTCACCTTTCAGAAACTTCTGCAGGGTATAACATTAGCTGCCACCTTTGCTGCCTTGAGTCCTGATACCAAAATACAATCTGGTCCTTTCCTGTCTTTTGTTGTTCTGAAATATCAAAGCAGTATGCTGCCTGACTTTCAGGGTGAACAAACCTCTGTACAGACGTGGACATGGCAAATACAGTTTTACTGATGCTGTTGTGCTATATAGTTTATAGGCTGACAGGAGAAAAGATCCCAGCATCTGGCTACTCGCCCTCTGTTCCCTACAGGCCAGAAAATGGGTGAGGAACGTCCACAGGAGCTCCAGTGAACATGTAGGCTCTTCCAGCTTAGCAGGCAATTGATTTCACTATGCTTATGGCTTAACTATGATGTAATAATTGTAACTGACAACTGATAAATGGCAGAAAACAGAACAAGTGAGAGACTATGGAACAAGCTGTTCACTGAGTTGATTCCAAATGGCTATTAGCTCAGAGTAAATGTGGGTTGTAGGAATACTTTAGTGACATCTGTAAGTGAAAATTCCTAAGTACCACATTCTACTCTCTTAACATGCACCTAAAACTGGAGTAATTTTTTTCCCTGGTACTGCTATGAGTACTTCAAGATTAATCAATATTTAAAGTACAGATGTGTTTTTGTAACTACTTTGAGATACGCTTGCCTTTGAACTTTAGACCAATACCATTGTAGTCAACAACACAATCATTTATTAGCCAGGACTGGACTCTCAGCATCTAGTTACACTCATGTTGCTGTATTTGAGAAAAATGTGAACATTTATCCAAAAATTTGATCTGGAAAAATAGTATTTAAAAAAAAATTTTGACAAAGTGGTTGCTCCATAGCTGCTGAATAACAGCTCACAGTAACAAAAACAAACGAATAAAAACCCACAGGTAGTTTTTAAGTGTAGGCCCAGTCTTTCAAATAAAAGAATAGTCTTTAAAAGTGGTAATGAACTTATGAGTACATTTCAATGTCTCATGACACCTCCAAGAGGAATGGGCTGCCATAAGTACACAGGAGCTCCACATTAAAGTACAGCTCAAGAAAGACATGGGCGTGTTAGAGTTGGTCCAGAGGAGAGACACAAAAATAGTCAGGGGATGAGGCAACTCTCCCATGAAGACAGGCTGAGAGTTGCGTCTGTACAACCTGGAGAAAAAAGGCTCTGGGGAGACCTTACAGTGGCATTTCATCACCTAAAGGGGCCTTATAAGGAAGACAGAGAGAGGTGTTTTACTATGGCCTGCAGTGACAGGAAAGGAGGTATTGACTTTAAGCTGAAATGGAGTAGATCTAGATTAGATATCAGGAAGAAATTCTTTACTGTGAGAGTGGTGAGACACCAGCAGGTTGCACCGAGAAGCAGTGGCTGCCCCATCCTTGCAGTATTCAAGGCCAGGTTGGATGTGGCTTTGAGCAACCTGGTCTAGTGGAAGGTGTCCCTGCCAGTGGAACAGGCTTGGAATGAGATGATCTTTAAAGTCCCTTACCACCCAAACTGGTTTATGCTTCTGTGACCATCATATAGTGGCTTTTCTCTCTGTTCTATTTCCTTTTCATCACAGCACATGATTTCAGAAAACATACCGAGTGCCTGTATGGTGTGTGTATTTGTGTACCTTCTTAGTCTGGTCCTTCAAATCTTGCTAGCAGAACAACATAGCTCAGCAGTCTATAATTAGCTTTCAACTAAGCTTTTAATAATAATCAATTTATTATGTCTCTTGCTTTTCAAGATGTGTATTTTTTCCCCTTCATTCTTGCCTTCCTTCAGTTTTTCTCTCTTGCACACTTTTCAGTATATTGCAGTGTATCACTTTTTTGTTACTGCCAATTTGTGAACTTTTACTTCTCTTCCTGTTTCTATTTTGCCTTAAGACTTACTTTTCCTGATAATGGTGGGTTTTGTGTTTTATTATAACATTTATCTCCAGAAGAATACAATGTGCGTGGCAGAAGCATAATAGACACTTGTTGACAGCAAAGTGAAATAAAATGCATGAAAGAATGTTCTAGGGATGTTAAGTCCTGGAGCTTTGTTTCCTGAGTGATGAAGACATGTATAACACAACCCCCAATAATTTAAAAGCTTTACCTATTGTACCTCATGTCCATAGCTGCCATTTTCATTAAGTTCCCTTTCAGACAGACCTCTTTGAGGTTTGTGAAAGAGATGATGTGCATCTTACTTGATGTGCCCACATAGCTGCCACCTGACAGCTGTGAGGCTGATAGTGAGACAGTGTGTACTGCAACACCTAAGCCTCTGGTACTGGATCCTCCTTCCAGGGGCCACAGGCTTGACCTCTGCTGCTCCTAGCTCTTAAGTACGTATGTGCTCTTCATTCTCTGAAAAATTGCATTAGTTTTTCTCACATCATAGGTTTATTGATAGCTGTAATACGTGATGTTGTACATAATGTGTGTTTGCTAGAAAAAGTTGGTTCATTTCTCCTCATTTAGTCAAACTAACTGATCCTTGATTCTTCACCTTGCCATTTAATTTGACAACGTAAGAAATCTAGAGGTTATAAGGACATCAGCGCATAATAGAAGCAAAAGTAGTAGGAAGAGTGTTAATTTAAGACTTTTTTAGGATCTAGGTAAAAATTAATTTAGTCAGCTCTCTTTCTCTCTTTTGAAGACAGGACAACTTCAAGAAACTGTGGATGATAAGTGGGATGGAGACTGTAGGACTCTGTAAAATTGTCTTAAGGAACATGTTCAGTGTATTTTTCCCAAGTTGTGTACTTCGAATACATACTTATGTCTATTGTTAATCAGAGGCATCTAGTTTTTTATGTTTTTGTTTTTAACTGCTAAAAGTTTTCTAAAGTTGTTTTTTTTTTTCCCTTCAGCTGACGGAGTCCGTGTGTTTAAATGCCTGATTAACAGAGACACTGAATATTGTCGTGTGGGAAAACAGTCTTTGTTAATTACAGTGGGATACAACAGTGCCTTGATTCAGTTCAAATCACAATCTGGTGAGTACATCTTGAATTTGTGAGCATCTCCTTCCTTATGTGCTACTGTATTGCTGAAGTTCACTTCAAAGTATGTTGTCTTCTACCTCTGTTTCAGGTTGGCTCTTTAAACATTACATATTGTTATGATAATGTACTCAACTTCATTTGCCTCTCACCCACTTCATCTGCCTTTTGGGGAGTATGGACCATCCACACAGTGAACATAACATTTTTAGAAAACAACAGCAGATTAGTTTTCTGAAAAAAGCAAATGCAGATAATGTATTCATATAACTTGACTTCATAAACTGAAAGTTACTTAACAGCACCCAGTCTTGAGAACGTCATATGTTTTTACAAAAAAATTAAGGCTATAGGAAGAAGTTAATCTTTTTGTTGTTTGCTGTGTACCAGTATAGCTGTTACTCTCAAACTATGTTAGCAAATGTTTGTGTGTATAATAAAAAATAATGTTGTGATCAAAAAAAGGATGAAAATTAATTTTCTATCTCATAAAAATGTTATGAAAATTCATTGTAGAAGTCTTGGGTTTTTAAGTCCTCTGTCTTTTATAAAGGTAGAAGAAGATGAGGAATGAGGAATGACAGGGAAATTCATGCCCTGCTTATGCCCACACAGAGAATTGTTGTTCTGGTTCCATCATTTTGACAGTCATAAATCATAGATTGTATATTTCATTTCCTGCTGAACATATGTTAAACATCTGAGTAGGATTGAGCAGGCAATAAAATGAAAGTTAGTAGCCTACAGACTTCTTTCAAAAACAAAGATCATTTATCTGTAACAGAACAACCAACCAGTCTGTAACTCATCTGTGACAGACTTGGTATGTAGCTCTCTACTCTTCAGTGAAAATGGCCTGCTTAATTTAGCATGGATTTAGTTCATAAGCACAGGATGAATTGCTGTTTTGGTGTCATGATAGAATGGATGTTCCTTTCTTCTCTTTCAAACCTCAACCCTGGTCTTCAGCCACTTTCACAAGCGTATCCAGGCACTGGACATGCCAATAGTTGGTGTCTGTCGATGTTGGTTTAGTAGCACAACTCATCTTGAAAATTGTCTGCCAGCTCTAATATCTGTGCCACTTGCACAGAAGCATAACATATATGGGGAAAGAAGGTGCTATTTACAGTTTTCAGCATATAGTACTTGCAGATCTCCACATACAGAACTGAGCTAGAGACATATGAGTACATGTGTCTGTAGATTGATTGATGGCTTGGCTTCGCAAGCGAATATCTGGGAAGGGCTTTAGCTGTGCTTACTACAAGCACAATGACCAAGGGCATGTGGGATATGAAAATCTGGTTGGAAAAAAAGGGTGCTTAGGCGATCAGGAAGTGTCCGACCAGGACTGTCATCTCCTGAGCAATCTTGAGCTAGCCGTGCGCTGGTCCACCTGCATGCAAGGTTGGATCTGCAGCTTCCCATGCACTTTGTCACCTGCCGTTTTGACCCTCACCTGTCCATACAGACAAGTGAGAGTAAGCCCTTCCAGCCTGCACAGTGGATTTTTTAGGTGAAGCACAGCTTCCGCAGAACTGGGCCCACTCTTTAAACCTGAGGTTTAACTGGCACAGCCTAGTTAGCTAGGACGGTGACAGCAAAGTCCACAGGTTGTAGGTTTTATAAGAGTGTCCTTCTCTGATGGAAGACCATACAAGCCTAGACGAGCTCCATCAGCCTCGGTTTGGAGATAGGAGTTTTCCTTCTCCTGTGAGGAAGGCCTGTCTTCGCTAACAAAGATTCAGGAAGTGCTTTAACCCGCACATTCTGAGCAAGACTGTCTTCTCCTGGGTCAATCACAAGAGACCAATGATTCAATAGCACAACATCAAATGTCTAGGCGGGATACTTAGAGGCGTTCAGTCACAGACCTGCAGATGGTGGCCTCGTGTCAGTGGCTCCTCAGCCAAGCACACACACCAGGGGTCTGAACCTGCTGTTCCTCTCGTACTGAGCGGGATTACTATTGCAACATCACATCATCAGTAGGGTAAAACTAACCTGTCTCACAGTCCTTTGATGTCTGCTCTTCCTATCACTGTGAAGCAGAATTCACCAAGCGTTGGATTGTTCATCCACTAATAGGGAACATGAGCTGGGTGTCTGTAAATACATATATGTGAAATATATCAAAAGCATAAGTTGTATTTTATATGTGCAAACATACATGCTGTTACTGCCATATAATTTAAGCAAAGGAACATGGTATGTCTTATGGTGATTTTTTTCCCCAAAAATCATTTGTTCATGTAATGGCATGTGGATCTAATGAGCTATAATTCCAATAGCAAGGCACAGAGAACAGAATGAACAAGCTTGTAGAACAGAGCAATTGGTGCTGGGGCCTTGGTATGCAAACTATACTCATTTGGGAATGAGGCAAGAATGAAGTGTGTGTTTACTTTGAACTATTTTTGTTAAATTTAATACAGAAGGATTCCAGTTAGTGTGTACCGAGACCACTCAGTCATGCAAATCAAAGCACTGTAAGTAGGGACAACTGATAGATACGCCTCAAGACCCACAGGTTGCAAGGAATCTGTTCAGCAATTTAAGAATTTGTGTCAAATAATAGATTTTATGAAGTAAAGGACCAAATGACTCTGTGGTCACTTGTTGGTTTATGCTTAAAGTAGTTATTCTGTTTTTCAGAAAAGCAAAAGAAAAGAAAATAGTTTGGTTACCTGAAACTTGTTTTATTTGAGTTAATTTAAAACAGTTACATTCACAAATGTATTTAATCTTACAGCTTGAAACTTGCAGAGGGTGATTGAGTAAACAATGAAGTGCAACTTGTTGAGAGAACTTACTCAATGCATTGACTGTAAATGACTTCACAATGATGGTGAAGTCCAGGATTTGCTAGTCTTAAAAGAGTGGTAGGAGGATCAACTATTTGGAATGATTTAAAAAAATAAAAAGGTTTTGACTTCTAAGCCATGCAACGTGCACAGTTGTAATACCTAACTTCTCACTTCTGGGGTAGGATCTTAGGTTCTGTGTTATACTTCAGTTTCTAAATTAGTCCACTGTCACAAAATGCCTCTAGGCTTTGTAGGTGCTTTCTCTGAGTTAATTTGTTTATGTGGCATCCCAAATACTGTGTAGGCTTTGGGACTATGAAGCAATCAGTTAGATTTTATCAAATTTCAATTCAACAGAATTAAGTCTCTGATAAAAGTTTTCAAGGTCGTATTTGGAGCTGTAGTGTGCAAGAGCAAATACCCATTATGTGATTTTGGAGACTGCTAGTCTAGTTGCAAATCTCAACAGAGAAGGCTGCCTGAACATGCCTTCTGCTGTGTCTGTTAGTCTCACTGTTTAAACGTCTGGGTTTGCTGTTGTTTCAGTCTATGGTTTTCAATGCCATTGTTTTTCTTGGTCCAGATAGAGGCAGACATTCACAAGTTTTGTGGTGTTTTGGGGACTCACTGAGTGAGTTCAAGGTGGTAGGACCTACAGGGTATGACCTAATTGCTTATGGCACTATTTTGAGTACCTTTTGTTTCTCTGGGCTTTGCTTGAACAGTTCTTTGGGAATTATTTTAGCATTAGCATTTTAAATTGTTGATTGATTCAGATTCCTGGGAGGACAAAATAAAGGAGATCTGAAAAGATCAATTGCTTTTACTGTGTTTTTGAATGACTCATAAAATTCTGTTATTTTCCTTGGAATTATTCTGGGCTGTTTTCTTGCTAGTTAATATTAGTGTTTGGATTTCCAGATAGGATCCAAATTATTCTTTTTTTCTTCTATAGGAATACGATTTACCATAATTTTCCCACAATTTAAAAAAAATACTATATGAAGGATTCTAAATTTCTAGATTTTTTTACTCCTATCTGCTATATCTGAGTATTGCTACATCTGCCTGCCTGTAAATTACAAAATTGCAGTGCCAGTTGAAGGTGGCAACATGCTTGCATTGGTACTTGTCCAATTATTCAGTGTTTAAAAATCCATTTATTTCTATTGTTCTGGTAAGAGTGGAATAGATTGGGAGTGGGTGGGTGGATAATTATTTAAAACAGGCAGTAGTTTATTCCAGTGAGACAGGGTATGTCTTAGAAAATGTTGGCAGTATTTTGAAATTTAATAGCCACTGATTCGGTGCTACCAGATAGTGCTTTCATGTGAGGCGTGACCATGGCCACCGGCTCAGAAGAGACTTTCACTAAGCACTGCTAGACCTAGAAGACATAAGTGAACCAGCTGCACCAGTGATATCCATCTCAATATTACATTTCATCAATTGTACTGTACTAAGCCAAATCATCTTCCTTCCTTAAGTGTAATTTGTTTCTGGGGAAGTTGTTTACATAAAATCCCTGACTAGAACAGGGATATGCTGCACAGGTCCTGGTTTATGATGACGAGACTAAAAATCAGTCATTCTTTCAAAGAAGAATAAAAGAAAGGATCTAATGTTTCTTAGTTTAATAGTTCCCAAAGTATAGTTTAACTTCAAAAGTTTTTGCAATATCACAATAATTCGTACATTTATGTAAATTTGATTACACCTTAAAGCCCCATTTTTCTCTCTGTTATCTAATAAAACTGAAATGGCTGCTCTAAAGGATATTAAACTTTTACATTTATAAACTTTATGATAGCATTTTACAAATCATAACTATTCTTCTAGTAATGTTTTTAGTGTGAGATTGACACTCCGGGGGAAGCTTTCACATCTACTAGTTTGCATTTCTTTGGAGTGTGGTTGCAACTTTAAATTAAAGATACTTTAATCTTCTTGATGATAACCATTTTATCAATTTGGCTCAATTTTTGTTTTATATAAATGTGAATCACTAAGGGGTGGAATGATCTGTTTAAAGAAAAGCAATTTTAGTTAGGATATTTAGCTGGCAGATGATACAATATTTTGCTTTCTGCTGACTGAAGAAAGCATTTATTACTGGTACTAAAAGTAGAAAAGGTTTTTGCTTTGGACTTAAGAAATTTACCAATGTGATTTGAAACATGTGGC